AAATGTAGTAAGTAAAATACAGACTTTATTTTTATAATCTAACAATGGTGAAACCACTTCCTCCTTGTAGCCTTGCCCCTACATCAGCTTGAACCACTTGAAAGAAAAGTTCTCCCCCTTTCTTCATGGAAACAACAGTTGATGCACAGACTGATGTTAGGGCAGACTTGACAAAAACTTCATTGCATAACACATCCCCCATTAAAACATTCACTCGAATTAGTTTATTTTCATTCTCCAGCAATGTTGCAATGACCAGATAGATGCCATCATCTGGTGCTACAAGCTTGCCTGTTGTCTGATTAAAATGGCAGCCGTTACATTCCCAAACATTATAGAATGTAGAAACAATGGTTCCCCTGGTTACTGGTGTGTTGTTATCAACGTGCAGTTGACAGATGTAAGGTTTACATGAAGGGGATTCTGTTGGGAAAATGTGAAATTATTGTTAATATTATTAAACATAATGTATGTGTTTGTTTCTGTGTGATTGTGTCAATTTAATGTTTTTATGTGTGTGTGTGGGGAGGGGGGGGGGAAAGCAGGTAAACGTGTGTTTGGTGAGGGGGAAAAGGGTGTGCATAAGTAAGTTATTTATTTCTACTGACACTTCAATACTGTCTGTTGTTATATTTTGTTTGACATGTATTTTATGTCTATAAGGTCTACTGATGTTTTAAAACGGCTGTTGTTTACACATCCTCAATACAGTCTGTTGTAAGATCACACATTGGTAATACACTGATTGATATATTTAGTGGATCTAAATAAGGCAACACTTATCCATAGTTGTAAGTAGTCAATGTAGCTATTGTATTTATAAATAACATAGCTGGTAGCTAATCTATATACATAATTCAAATTCTCTTCATGGGGACCATACGAGACACCACGCAGCTTAGCCACCACCCTCATCCCCACCTGTCAGGTGAGCTATGGTTCACCCCAAATGTTTACAATAGTAGAGCTGGTTCGAATAAGTGATGGCTGTTAGGGGCAGATAATTTTCTTTTTAAATGATTTGAAACTAAGGGGAGGTAATGAGTTCTGCTTGATATTTTTATTGTTGTCTGTAAACGGCTGCTTTCACTGGGCGGGTAAGCAGGGGGGTGGGGTATTTTTGAATTCACGAATTATGAATTGTTGATAAGTAGAAAATAAAACAACTAGAAAGCGGCGTATGCTACATAGTGGGTCAGCTCAGGTGTTTATAAACAACATAGCTGGTAACTACATACATATCAACAACATAGCTCTTAGCTAATGTGTTTGTTGGATTTGTTGATTCTAAGTCAAGAGACAACCACTAAGGTTCAGAGACAGGGTGTACAAGAGGTGTAACTCTTGCCACAATTCTCCCAGTAGACAGGGGGTAGGAAATAAATTGATCCAAGTGTTTAGGCTCATTAAATTAAGTCAGTTAGAGGTTGTCTATAGATAATTTAATCAGTCACCTTTACACCACAAGAAAATATGTGGTCTAAAATAAACAGGTATAACTGTGCATCTCAAAATGTAATAGGATAAAATTAATAAGCATAACAGCTACATTTTAAATGTGAAATTTAAAAGTAAAACTACTACACTTACTAATTGTATTCAAAGGTGTTGAAAGCTTCAAAACATCCTTTACTTGATTTTCAAGCTTCAAAACATCCTTTACTTGATTTTCAAGCTTCAAAACATCCTTTACTTGATTTTCAAGCTTCAAAACATCCTTTACTTGATTTTCAAGCTTCAAAATATCCTTTACTTGATTTTCAAGCTTCAAAACATCCTTTACTTGATTTTCAAGCTTCAAAACATCCTTTACTTGATTTTCAAGCTTCAAAACATCCTTTACTTGATTTTCAAGCTTCAAAACATTCTTCGCTTGATTTTCAAACTGCAGAACAGTAAAAAAAAAGACATTAAATTTAATAATTTAAAAAGTATTTTCAAAGATGACAAAGAAGAGGCCAACTATTTTTTAAAAATATAGATAAATGTATTAAATAAAAACAATTTTTTAAAATTTATTTCTTTTGAATGTGTAGATCCCCTATAAATACTATAATACATTAATATATATCTCAAACAGAACACAATTCTCTAGTAACTGGTCAGTTTTTATCCTATGACACCTAAGTCTATGTTAACTGGTAAGTTTATATTCTTTATGATGCAAACTTAAATTAATAACTGGTTAATATGACACATACTCTTGTTACTGGTCATTTTAAATCTCCTGTAACACTAACAAAACTGGTCAGTCTACTTCCCTATGACATTGACATGATAAATGGATATGATATACTAGCTGTTACAATAACAATAAATCTGGTCAGTTTATATTCTGACAATAACAAAGCCTGTCAGTTTTAATTTGTATTAAAATGTATAACACAAAACACGGTACGATATTCACCAAATTAATGGAGGTTTACCTGTTGAAAACACACACCCTACAATCACAATGTAAAATATCTGACACATCTTGAACACAATACAATGAAATTTCTAAACATGGCTACAAACTAGTTAAACAAAATATTGCTTTCATAAGTAAACACAAAAAACAACCTAATTAATTACCTTAGCATATAACTCATTTAAGTTACAAGTTGTATGTAGCATGTTTTCCTGTAGTTGGTCTTGTATAGAAGACACCAGAGAGCAATGAATTCTAACTTCTTGTGTTAGACTATCTGTTTTAAGTTCCATCTCTTGATTTATTGGGTTTAAGTTGTTTTCATATTCTTTGATCTTTACAGAAAGTTTTTCTAGTGTTTTGTTTGACTGTGCTTCCTTTTCTTTTAAACTCTCAATTTCTTTGTTTAGCTCCTTTATTTTGTCATCTTGTTCTCTTATTTCTTGTCTGAGGCTTTCAAGATTTTGTTTTTGTTGATTACAAAATTGTTCTGCCATATTATTTTTTTCTGTCTGCAAGTTGTCTCTCCATTGTTTTATTTCTAATATGTCATCTTCAGTCTTTTGTTTGCTGTCTTGAAGAGAAAATAGAGCTTTCTCTATAAGTTCTAGTTGACTGATTATTTCTGTAATACATGTAAAATTAACACACAATATTTAAAACAATGAAATAAGTATAAACTTTAAAAGTAGAAGTATTACATGCTTAACTTAGCTTCTTTTTTTATATATTTATTTCAGTAAAAAAAAAACAACCAATTACTCGCTGTTTGTAGAAATTGTTTAGCCGCTTGAATTGATTTACTGTCTTCATATTTTTCTGTTGATGTAGTTTGTGGTGCTGAGTAAAATAAAATGTCTTCATTACATGGTTGATATGAATACATACTTAAAAGTTTTTTTTTGAGGGGTTTGTTTCTTGTCATTTTTGTTTAAGGGGATATGCGCGGAAAAAAATCACAAAATTTCTTGTTTTTTGTCATGATGGGTTTCTTGCACTTTTGGATACTTTGTCCATTTTTGTATATAGAAAATAATAACTTTAAAGAAAAAAAAATTATTTTATGTGTTTGAATTACGATTTTTATGACCCTATTAATTAAAAAATAATCAATTTTTCCCAATCTTACAAGCTCTCTATGAAAAGTTTTATATCCGTCATTATATTGTATTTGACATCATTGGAAAGCTGGATTTCTCATGTATTTTATAAACTTAATTTCCTACATCTCGGAAACATCCAAAGCTTACAATCGGCTTTGCAGTTTACACAGATATGGTACTTTCCTGACCTAGTTTTCGTTACTTTTGGCTGTTTTTCTCAGTTTGCAGGTTTTTAACACTAAAAAGCCTACTACTTTTTTATTTATTAAACAATGCCAACCATATTTTCAGTAAACGTTCTTGATGCAAAAATACAACTTTTGTCACGAGGGAATTGTGATTGCTTTCATAGAAAAAAAGTATTTGGTAATTAATATGCACATTTTGAAACTTTTGAATACTAAAAAGGGTACGATTTTTTAGACCTTATAAAATTCTTACTAGTAATTATTTCAAAAAGTTGTCGTGACAAAAGTTTTAATATATACTGAAATATAAGCAGTTTAAATTTGATTACTATAGATGCATAAATAAAAAAGCCTTAGCATTTTTAAAAGTACCGAAAAATTCAAAATGGCGGAGGTTTTTTGGTTTCCATGACAACCAAAATTGTTTTCGACCTTTTTTTTTGCTGTTTAATACTTACTTTTATATGCCAAATATGATTAAAGTATTCAAAAGGCTTTAGATCTTAAACTGTAAAAAATAGAAAAAAACATAGCATATCCCCTTAAGAAGATTTAACAGTGCTGCGGATGTAGTAGGGGACCATTTTTTGTTTTTGTTTATTGTCAGTATTGTTGGAATAGTGCACCACAGGTTTTCCAAGTACTTCAGGCTATAAATCAGAGGTGTAGCGAGGGGCGCCAAATAGAAAGTTTGAGGGGGGGGGGGTGCAAATGAAAAGTTTGAGGGTGGGGTGGCGGGTGCAAATAGAAAGTTTCTCCACGGGCGCCGGGAAGGGTTGCTACGCCTCTGCTATAAATAGATGTGCATGTGTATGTTCAGTCATTTAATTTATTTCATTAGTTAAATATCATGTTTCTTCTATGTTGGTACTTTAAAATAGATAATTTAGTACAAAAATACATCATATTATTCTATGATCAGTCTTTTTAAAAATTAAGTTATCAAATAAATTGTTAATTCTTCTAATTTTTGTTGATACTATGTATGCTGAATAAAAAAAAATCTGAAGTAATATTATACAAGATTAAATTTATAGTCATGTATAAATATTTACTTCAAATTGTGTAAATTTATATATATATATATATAGATATATATATCTGTGCACTCAATGTACTTAAAAATGTGTCAATTAAAAAAAAAATTGAAAGCTTGTGTACAGTCATCATATAAGTTTTTTATTTAAAATTGTGTAAAAACCCAAATATTGATATAATAAGTAAAGTCATTTTTTACATGCTTACTTAAAACTGTGTAAATATTAATATCATATAAAAATCATTGAATAAGAAATTTACTTAAAGTTTGTGATGCTCCACCCAACCGTGCTGAGGTCGCTGCTTTAACTTCTGGGAAAGGTTTTCTGAAGGTGAAAGATGAGTTGACATTTTTATCTCCTAACTCAGCCTTAGTTTTGTCTGCAGTCTGAAAAATGATAAGTGAATTAGGATGACGCTTTTGTTGGTAAATGTTGTATATTATATTCACTTATCTCTAATATACAAAGTAAAGGTAAAATAATGAATAATTACAATTCAATAAAATCTTACAGTTTTGACAGCTTCATTGCCAGGTTCCATAATTTTTGTTTGTTCTTCAAAATAGTTTGTGTGTTCTGAAACAAGCTTGGACTAAATTCAAAACAAAATAAAGAAATTAATTGAGAGGTTTTAACTGTCTGCTCACTAAATCTACTTATGTGTTACATGCAATATAATACTGAACCCATTTGAAAATATCAGGCTATGCCAATCTGTAGAAAAGGTATTCATTTTATAATTTAAATGTATAACACTTTATGTTTGTAAATGGTTTTTTAAAAAATTACAAAAGGAACAGGGGCCTTTTTCACATTAGCCAAAAACAGTAAATATATTAAGAATAACAAAAAATATAAGGCTAGAATATACACAGAAATAGAATAAGAGAAATGATAAACATCGCAAGGATTCTGTTTTAGGTGGTCATGCAATAGGTAGTTTTTAGTTTTGTTTAGAATAGATTTTCAGATAAAGAGACAATTGTTTTTAAAACTTTTAAAGTTTTAACTTTTATTTTATTTGCATTAGCAATCTTGTTCCATAAATTTAAACAAATTATCGAATTATCGCCAGAGTATATTCACTTAGATTCTTTAGATGAGATCTACTAACTTGGAGTAGGATTATCTTTTCGGGTAATCTCCAAGTATAGCGTAGGAAATTATCCAGTAATGTTTGTAGAGTTTGGTAAACATTACTTACTGTAAACCATAGTTTATCTGACCATTGAAATATAAATAGTCAAGTGTACTAAATAGGTGTTTGAACTATATTTTAAGTTTAATTGACATTCACAAAGAAACAGAAATAAATAGAAAATTAGTTACAGTTAAATCTAGTAGCTCTAAATATAAATAATAAAGTCAAGTGTAGTAGCCTAATTAGTCTAATTATTTTTTTAGAAACAGAAATAAAAAACTTTGTGACGGTCAATTAGATATCCAGAACTAGAATCTAGGCCAAGTAAAAATGTTTACCAAAATAGTAAAAATGGCTAGAAATAGAACAATGTTTAATAGCAGCAATAATTAGCAAAAACACTTAAAAATAATTAGAAATACAAAATTAATAGCAAAATAATAGTATTTAATTTTATTAACTTGCACCTAAAATCAATCTAGAATCTAGATATATCAAAGCTTTAAAATTAAAACAAAACATGGTGCCAAACAAATTTTAATAAGGTAATGTTTAATTTTAAAGAGAAGTAGAATAGATCAACCACCGGTGGATTCTGGAATGACGTGACAGGCTACGCCTTATACTATTTTTTAAAATGCTAATCTGTATAGATCTATTTATACGATTCCAGAATACTAATCTACGCTGTGCTAGATTTATTCTATATATCTACTACTCAAATACATTGGGCTTGACTGGGGGATTCTAGATCTTGGACTCTAGTAGTTACTAGTAACTAGATCTAGATTAGTACATTAGTAGCTCAGGCTGGTGTAGGTGTAGAGTCTAGCTAGCTAACTACTGTAACTAGCTAGCTACATCTAGAAAATCTAGATCTAGACCAGATCTAGATCTAGTTATTCTAGACGTCTACTAGATCTAGATAGTGGCTAGCTGGACTAGCTGCTGCTGCTAGCTAGACTGACTAACTCTATGATCTAATGCTAACTCACTTGTTATATTATAAATTGTCCATGGTTGGTGAGAATCAAATATTCTTTAACAGTAAGCGTCACTTGCAGGTCCATAATTAGAATAAGTTAACAGAGAGAGAGCTACAACAGTTACAGTATGATGAGTATGTTGATACATCATAGATCATAGATCTACAAGTGATAAACATAAACATTTTTGAGTAAAATCTCTTTATAATTTAAAATTTAAATATAGATTCTTCTAGATTAGATTCTAAAAGCATGAGGTCAAAATTTGCCAGTTTCCTGTTTTTGTCCGAATTCTGTCAGGGCGATCATAACAGTTAACCAGTAACACTGAGACCAATCATATTTAAATTAATATTTAATTATTTATGATTCTAGCCCTCAACAGTCATAAGTAAGACATAGATCTAGATATTTGATGATCAATCGTAATCATTTAAATTCATTTAGATCTAATCATTGGATTTTAAATGTAAAAAGTTACTAAAAAGTAAAGTAAAAACTAAAAAAGACTTCTTAAAAAGTTAAAATTAATTATTAAAAGACGAGACTGGTATTAAAAAACTTTTTAAGTTTAAATATATTGATCTATATATAAATCTAGATCTAGATCTAATAATTTGATCTACAGCGAAATATTTCATTAGCTTTAAATTAGCTTTCACTCATCCAGTAAAACGTTTAAATAATTTAAATACCATGAATGAAATGAGAAACAAGCCAACACAACTCGCATCTACAGAAGTAAATAAGCCGCCATATTTTAAAAATAGAATTGGGTGTTTAAAAAATGAATTAGGCTCTACCATATTGAAACAAACTTAAGCCTAGATCTATATTTTTGAATGTTCTGCTACCAAATTGTAACACAAACATTCATTAAAAAAACCTTTTAATTACAAGCTCTTAAGTAATAATGCACTAAAAAGTAGAAAATAAATTGTACACTACTATTTAAATAGTTAAAAAATAAAGAAAGTATATATATATATATATATATATATATATATATATATATATATATGTGTGTGTGTGTGTGTGTCGGCTAACATGTGCCTAAAATTTAAATATACGCCACATATGCGTACATGCATGTGAATAAGCTCGTTTCACTGGAGACGTAATAGTAACGATGTTTATCTATAGTCTGTTAACAATACATTTTGGATGTAGCATTGTTTTCTCCAGAGTTAACACGTTTACGTCATGGTGTCACCCAAATACCTTTGTAATTGTGATAGATTGGAATCACTGACGAGAAGCCACATTGGTTGTTAACAGTAGTTTATTCACACCATGAGGAGAGAGAGGGAGGGCAGAAGAGGCGAGACACTTATATACATAACATGTAATGGACATCACTCAAGATAACAATATAAATATAATACTAATACAGAAGAGTGAGTTCCCTTGACCTCACAATTATCTCAATCTATTACATCCCTTTACCCTTAGAACACAATAACACATCTCTCAATAGAACAATTGATAGTATCCTAAAATCACCAATTATATTGTAACATGAACACTATGGTAGATTACATCCTTACAAACAATGCACAATATGTTACAACACAATTAAAATACAAACAATGATGTCAAAGTCCTTTTGACCTTTAAAATCATAGGTCTAACTTATTTGGGACTTTGATTGTCCTGTTTGACCTTCTCAGTGGCCTTTGATTTGGTGACTCAATATTAATAAGACATTTCATTAATTTTTTTCAATCTAACACCAAATGAAATTAGTAAAATACAGAAAATTATTTTTACACCAAATGTATTAAGTAAAGTACAGAAAATTATTTTTACAACACTAAATGTATTAAGTAAAATACAGACTATAATTTTATAATCTAACAATGGTGAAACCACTTCCTCCTTCTAGCTTCAACTTGTAACAACAAAACATCAACTTTATTTGGTAAAATAAACATTAAAAAAAAAAATCTAACATGAAATATTTTTGGTAAAATTCAGAAATATATTTTTTCAATCTTACATTAAATGTATTAATTATTAAGTAAAATAAGACATTTATTTTTTCAATCTAACACCAAAAGTATTAAGTAAAGTACAGAAAATAATTTTTACAACACCAAATGTATTAAGTAAAATACAGAAAATTATTTTTCAACACTAAATGTAGTAAGTAAAATATAGACTTTATTTTTATAATCTAACGATGGTGAAACCACTTCCTCCTTGTAGCCTTGCCCCTACATCAGCTTGAGCCACTTGAAAGAAAAGTTCTCCGCCTTTCTTCATGGAAACAACAGTTGATGCACAGACTGATGTTAGGGCAGACTTGACAAAAACTTCATTGCATAACACATCCCCCATTAAAACATTCACTCGAATTAGTTTATTTTCATTCTCCAGCAATGTTGCAATGACGAGATAGATGCCATCTTCTGGTGCTACAAGCTTGCCTGTTGTCTGATTAAAATGGCAGCCGTTACGTTCCCACACATTATAGAATGTAGAAACAATGGTTCCCCTGGTTACTGGTGTGTTGTTGTCGACGTGCAGTTGACAGATGTAAGGTTTACATGAAGGGGATTCTGTTGGGAAAATGTGAAATTATTGTTAATATTATTAAACATAATGTATGTGTTTGTTTCTGTGTGATTGTGTGTTTTTATGTGTGTGTGTGGGGAGGGGGGGAAAGCAGGTAAATGTGTGTTTGGTGAGGGGGAAAAGGGTGTGCATAAGTAAGTTATTTATTTCTACTGACACTTCAATACTGTCTGTTGTTATATTTTGTTTGACATGTATTTTATATCTATAAGGTCTACTGATGTTTTAAAACGGCTGTTGTTTACACCATGTATGAAGATCTATACATTTTCCATCCAGCTCAATATAGTCTGTTGTAAGACCACACATTGGTAATACACTGATGATATATGTAATGGAACTTAATAAGGCAACACTTATCCATAGTTGTAAGTAGTCAATGTAGCTATTGTATTTGTAGCTAATATGTTTGTAAACACTATAGCTGGTAGCTAATGTGTTTATAAATAACATAGCTGGTAGCTAATCTATATACATAATTCAAATTCTCTTCATGGGGACCATACGAGACACCACGCAGCTTAGCCACCACCCTCATCCCCACCTGTAGAGCTGGTTCGAATAAGTGATGGCTATTAGGGGCAGATAATTTTCTTTTTAAATGATTTGAAACTAAGGGGAGGTAATAAGTTCTGCTTGATATTTTTATTGTTGTCTGTAAACGGCTGCTTTCACTGGGCGGGTGAGCAGGGGGGTGGGGTAGTGTTGAATTCAGGAATTATGAATTGTTGATAAGTAGAAAATAAAAAAAACTAGAAAGCGGCGTATGCTACATAGTGGGTCAGCTCAGGTGTTTATAAACAACATAGCTGGTAACTACATACATATCAACAACATAGCTCTTAGCTAATGTGTTTGTTGGATTTGTTGATTCTAAGTCAGGAGACAACCACTAAGGTTCAGAGACAGGGTGTACAAGAGGTGTAACTCTTGCCACAATTCTCCCAGTAGACAGGGGTAGGAAATAAATTGATCCAAGTGTTTAGGCTCATTAAATTAAGTCAGTTAGAGGTTGTCTATAGATAATTTAATCAGTCACCTGTTCACCACAAGAAAATATGTGGTCTAAAATAAACAGGTATAACTGTGCATCTCAAAATGTAATAGGATAAAATAAATATTTAGCTTAAGGGCATGGGCGGGTGATGAGTACCAACTTCCTTATTTCCGAGTCTAAAGATGTAATACTTGGCTAATAGTTATAACTCAAAGAGTTAAGCATAAAAATATTTTTTTTAATTTTTTAAATCTTCCGTTGCCATGGTGACGGCGGCCATATTGGATTTTATTGACGATTTTTAAATGGAAATAACTCAAAAATGGTTTGTTCAAATTTCATGAAAACTTAATATAGTCTGCAGACACATGTGTTTAAGACTTCAGATAGATTACATTTTCAAAAAAGAAAATAGTTTTTTTTTTTACTTTTTTTTTAAAAACATTACTGTAAAAATTTCATTATTTCGTCCAATTTTTTCACTATTTCAACAACAAAATTTTTTTTTTTACAAAAATTCCAAAAGTGTTCTATCAGTTTTCTTTGAACATATATAAAGAGTAACTGGAGCAAATTTAGTTCAGTTCTGATAATTATTAACAAAGTTATTTCAACAATTGTACAAAAAAACATCAAACTGAGAAAAACGCAAAAAACTAACAAAAAGTTGCAAAAAATGAACATTTATCGCTGTATGTCACTAAAATCGACCACATTTATAGCCTGAAGTATGGTGCTGCTGAATATATTCCTTCTGAGCTTGTTCGGCTGTTAGTTTTCTTTTTTTCTGGCGCTGTTTGTTTTACCTAGAGTTGTAGTAAAGCTGTTGTCATGGCGTCTTTTTTCGCGTCTTCACTGGGTCCTCGACTATGGTTTCCTTCTTTTGACAGCAATGCCATAGCATGCCTGGGCCTAAAATTGAATTAGGCTATCACAGAAACAGCAGTATATTTTGCATGGTCTCATGTCTAAAGCCAATTATGATAAGACGTCTTTGTTTATTGTGAAAGGCCTTGTTCTGGATTCTTTTGCAGTTGTATACTTACGGTTTACAACATTTTTATTACTGCCACACCATGCTTGAAGCAAACCCTTTACACTGTTTTCATCAATAGTAGCCACTACATCACAGTGTGCGAGGAGATGTATTGATAACATCAAGAAGCAAATCACAGTCGACAATAATTCTGCATGGCTGTGGTTTACAATTAGTACTACTAGTACTAGATGTAACAGTGCTTTCTTCTGTCTGTAAAAACTGTGTCTTACATTGTCGCAGTTTCTTAGTAAATGTGCATATTACATCTGCACCAGTGCTTGTCTGAATAGTGCTAGATTTAGTAGAGGTAGCTGCAATCAGTTGCATTCGGACGAGCCCTCGCTTTAGTAAATTAGTTAGATGTGTGTATCTATTTTTAGCGAGTATTTTGTTCTACGCATTATCGAAAGAGAAACGAATTAAATCGTCTCACTGCTTATGATAATTCACACAAACTAATCTAAACTGTTAATAGTATATTTAATTGAAATAATTATATGTTAAAATAATGTAAGTATTTTACAGAAGCTTAGAGAAACAAAACTAGATCAAACTTAGCAACGCGCTGAAACTAAGGGAATGTTTACTCCCGAAGCGAAACGACCAATCGCTAACTAGCTTCCGCCGTCGTATGCCAATGAAAAAATTGAGGTCAAAAATTTGCATACCGGAAAAACCCGACTGAGTAAAATAAACAACTTTATGACGTAGAAAAATAATCACATTAAAATATGTATTTTGATTGGTCATTTAATTTTAGAACAAATAAAGAAAGGAGGTCACGGCCTTTCCATTGATATGAAACACATTAGGTTTCCGCGAAGCCTAATAGTACTTTTCTAGGTCGAAAAATTGCTATTTTTACCAAAAAATTAAACAAAAGACCATGTACACACTACATTGAACCCGGTTTTTCATAATTAAATACTGTTTTTAGGGTCATAACAATGTCGTTTTTAGATTCAACAATGGTTATTCTGTATAGATCAAGTAAAAGTGGGAAATCGATGATTTAGTGGATTTATGACGAAAAGTACACCCGCCCATGCCCTTAACAGCTACATTTTAAATGTGAAAATTAAAAGTAAAACTACTACACTTACTAGATCTAATTGTATTCAAAGGTGTTGAAAGCTTCAAAACATCCTTTAATTGATTTTCAAGCTTCAAAACATCCTTTACTTGATTTTCAAGCTTCAAAACATCCTTTACTTGATTTTCAAGCTTCAAAACATCCTTTACTTGATTTTCAAGCTTCAAAACATCCTTTACTTGATTTTCAAGCTTCAAAACATCCTTTACTTGATTTTCAAGCTTCAAAACATCCTTCGCTTGATTTTCAAACTGTAGAACAGTAAAAAAAAAGACATTAAATTTAATAATTTAAAAAGTATTTTCAAAGATGACAAAGAAGAGGCCAACTATTTTTTTAAAATATAGATAAATGTATTAAATAAAAACAATTTTTAAAAATTTACTTCTTTTAAATGTGTAGATCCCCTATAATACATTAATATATATCTCAAACAGAACACAATTCTCTAGTAACTGGTCAGTTTTTATCCTATGACACCTAAGTAAGTTTATATTCTTTATGATGCAAACTTAAATTAATAACTGGTTAATATGACACATACTCTTGTTACTGGTCATTTTAAATATCCTGTAACACTAACAAAACTGGTCAGTTTACTTCCCTATGACATTGACATGATAAATGGACATGATATACTAGCTGTGACAATAACAATAAATCTGGTCAGTTTATATTCTGACATTAACAAAGCCTGTCAGTTTTAATTTGTATTAAAATGTATAACACAAAACACGGTACGATAATTCACTAAATTAATGGAGGTTTACCTGTTGAAAACACACACCCTACAATCACAATTTAAAATATCTGACACATCTTGAACACAATACAATGAAATTTCTTAACATGGCTACAAACTAGTTAAACAAAATATTGATTTCATAAGTAAACACAAAAAACAACCTAATTAATTACCTTAGCATATAACTCATTTAAGTTACAAGTTGTATGTAGCATGTTTTCCTGTAGTTGGTCTTGTATAGAAGACACCAGAGAGCAATGAATTCTAACTTCCTGTGTTAGACTGTCTGTCTTAAGTTCAATCTCTTGATTTATTGGGTTTAAGTTGTTTTCATATTCTTTGATTTTTAGAGAAAGTTTTTCTAGTGTTTTGTTTGACTGTGCTTCCTTTTCTTTTAAACTCTCAATTTCTTTGTTCAGCTCCTTTATTTTGTCATCTTGTTCTCTTATTTCTTGTCTGAGGCTTTCAAGATTATGTTGATTACAAAATTGTTCTGCCATATTATTTTTTTCTGTCTGCAAGTTGTCTCTCCATTGTTTTATTTCTGATATGTCATCTTCAGTCTTTTGTTTGCTGTCTTGAAGAGAAAATAGAGCTTTCTCTATAAGTTCTAGTCGACTGATTATTTCTGTAATACATGTAAAATTAACACACGATATTTAAATATTTAAAACAATGAAATAAGTATAAACTTTAAAAGTAGAAGTATTACATGCTTAACTTAGCTTCTTTTTAAATATATTTATTTCAGTAAAAAAAACAACCAATTACTCGCTATTTGTAGAAATTGTTTAGCCGCTTGAATTGTTGATTTACTGTCTTCATATTTTTCTGTTGATGTAGTTTGTGGCGCTGAGTGAAATAAAATGTCTTCATTACATGGTTGACATGAATACATACTTAAAAGTTTATTTTTGAGGGGTTTGTTTCTTGTCATTTTTGTTTAAGAAGATTTAACAGTGCTGCGGATGTAGTAGGGGAACATTTTTTGTTTTTGTTTATTGTCAGTATTGTTGGGATAGTGCACCACAGGTTTTCCAAGTACTTCAGGCTATAAATAGATGTGCATGTGATATGTCCAGTTATTTAATTTATTTCATTAGTTAAATATCTTGTTTCTTCTCTGTTGGTATTTTAATATAGATAATTTAGTACATAAATACATCATAATATTCTATGATCAGTCTTTTTAAAAATTAAGTTATCAAATAAATTGTTAATTCTTCTAATTTTTGTTGATACTATGTATGCTTAATAAAAAAATCTGAAGGAATATTATACAAGATTAAATTTATAGTCATGTATAAATATTTACTTCAAATTGTGTAAATTTATATATATATATATATATATATATATATATATATATATATATATATATATATATATATATATCTGTGCACTCAATGTACTTAAAAATGTGTCAATTAAAAAAAAAATTTGAAAGCTTGTGTAGAGTCATCATATAAGTTTTTTATTTAAAATTGTGTAAAAACCCAAATATTGATATAATAAGTAAAGTCATTATTTACATGCTTACTTAAAACTGTGTAAATAAATAAATATTAATATCATATAAAAAATCAGTGAATAAAAAATTTACTTAAAGTTTGTGATGCTCCACCCAACCGTGCTGAGGTCGCTGCTTTAACTTCTGGGAAAGGCTTTCTGAATGTGAAAGATGAGTTGACATTTTTATCTCCTAACTCAGCCTTAGTTTTGTCTGCAGTCTGAAAAATGATAAGTGAATTAGGATGACACTTTTGTTGGTAAATGTAGTCTATTATATTCACTTATGTCTAATATACAAAGTAAAGGTAAAATAATGAATAATTACAATTCAATAAAATCTTACAGTTTTGACAGCTTCAATGCCAGGTTCCATAATTTTTGTTTGTTCTTCAAACTAGTTTGTGCGTTCTGTAACAAGCTTGGACTAAATTCAAAACAAAATAAAGAAATTAATTGAAAGGTTTTAACTGTCTGCTCAATAAATCTACTTATGTGTTACATGCAACAAAATACTGAACCCAATTTGAAAATATCAGGCTATGCCAATCTGTAGAAAAGGTATTCATTTTGTAATTTAAATGTATAACACTTTCTTATGTTTGTTAATGGTTTTTAAAAAAAATTACATACGGAACAGAAGCCTTTTTCACATTAGCCTAAAACAGTAAATATATTAAGAATAACAAAAAATATAACACTAGAATATACACAGAAATAGAATAAGAGAAATGATAAACATCGCAAGGATTCTGTTTTAGGTGGTCATGCAAAAGGTAGTTTATTAGTTTTGTTTAGAATAGATTTTCAGATAAAGAGACAATAGTTTTTAAAACTTTTAAAGTTTTAACTTTTATTTTATTTACATTAGCAATCTTGTTCCATAAATTTAAACAAATTATCGAATTATCACCAGAGTATTTTCACTTAGATTTTTAGATGAGATCTACTAACTTGGAGTAGGATTATCTTTTCGGGTAATCTCCAAGTATAGCGTAGGAAATTATCCAGTAATGTTTGTAGAGTTTGGTAAACATTACTTACTGTAAACCATAGTTTATCTGAACATTGAAATATAAAGTGTACTAAATAAGTGTTTGAACTATATTTTAAGTTTAATTGACATTCACAAAGAAACAGAAATAAATAGAAAATTAGTTACAGTTAAATCTAGTAGCTCTAAATATAAATAATAAAGTCAAGTGTAGTAGCCTAATTAGTCTAATTATTTTTTTAGAAACAGAAATAAAAAACTTTGTGACGGTCAATTAGATATCCAGACCTAGAATCTAGGCAGAGTAAAAATGTTTACCAAAATTGTAAAAATGGCTAGAAATAGAACAATGTTTAATAGCAGCAATAATTAGCAAAAACACTTAAAAATAATTAGAATTACAAAATTAATAGCAAAATAATAGTATTTAATTTTATTAACATGCACATAAAATCAATCTAGATATATCAACATTTTAAAATTGAAACAAAACATGGTGCCAAATAAAGATTAATAAGGTAAGGTTTAATTTTAAAGAGAAGTAGAATAGATCAACCACCGGTGGATTCTGGAACGACAAGACAGACTAAGCCTTATACCATTTTTTAAAATGCTAATCTGTATAGATCTACTATACCATTCCAGAATACTAATCTAGGCTGTGCTAGATTTATTCTATATATCTACTACTCAAATACACTGGCTTGACTGGGGGATTCTAGATCTCGGACTCTAGTAGTTACTAGTAACTAGATCTCGATAAGTACATTAGTAACTCAGGCTGGTGTAGGTAACTACTGTAACTAGCTAGATCTAGCCACATCTAGAAAATCTAAATCTAGACCAGATCTAGTTATTCTAGACGTCTACTAGATCTAGATAGTGGCTAGCTGGACTAGCTGCTGCTGCTAGCTAGACTGACTAACTCTATGATCTAATGCTAACTCACTCGTTATATTATAAATTGTCCATGGTTGGTGAGAATCAAATATTCTTTAACAGTAAGCGTCACTTGCAGGTCCATAATTAGAATAAGTTAACAGAGAGAGAGCTACAACAGTATGATGAGTATGTTGATACATCATAGATCTACAAGTGATAAACATAAACATTTTTGAGTAAAATCTCTTTATAATTTAAATTTTAAATATAGATTCTTCTAGATCTAGATCTAGATTAGATTCTAAAAGCATGAGGTCAAAATTTGTTAGTTTCTCAGTTTCCTGTTTTTGTCCGAATTCTGTCAGGGCGATCATAAAAGTTAACCAGTAACACTGAGACCAATCATATTTAATATTTATGATTCTAGCCCTCAACAGTCATAAGACATAGATCTAAACATTTGATGATCAATCATAATCATTTAAATTCATTTAGATCTAAATCTAGTCTAGAACTAATCATTGGATTTTAAATGTAAAAAGAAAAGTTTTAGAAAAGTCTTAAAAGACGAGACTGGTATTAAAACTTTTTAAGTTTAAAGATATATAGATCTAGATCTAGATCTAAATCTAGATCTAGATTCTAGATCTAATAATTTGATCTACAGCGAAATATTTCATTAGCTTTAAATTAGCTTTCACTCATCCAGTAAAACGTTTAAATAATTTAAATACCATGAATGAAATGAGAAACAAGCCAACACAACTCGCATCTACAGAAGTAAATAAGCCGCCATATTTTAAAAATAGAATTGGGTGTATAAAAAATGAATTAGGCTCTACTATATTGAAACAAACTTAAGCCTAGATCTATATTTTTGAATGTTCTGCTACCAAATTGTAACACATAAACATTCATTAAAAAAACCTTTTAATTACAAGCTTTTAAGTAATAATGCACTAAAAAGTAGAAAATAAATTGTACACTACTATTTAAATAGTTAAAAAATAAAGAATATATATATATATATATATATATATATATATATATATATATATATATATATATATATATATATGCGTGTGTGTGTGTGTGTGTGTGTGTGTGTGTGTCGGCTAACATGTGCCTAAAATTTAAATATACGCCACATATGCGTACATGCATGTGAATAAGCTCTTTTCACTGCAGACGTAATAGTAACGATGTATAATAGATTAGGTATTCAACAACGGAGACAGAAGCCATCAGCATGTAGCCATCTTTATTTGGTAAACCGGAAGAGGAACAATGATAGATAAATACAAGGGACATCACTCAATAACAACATTATAAATATAACTAATACAAGAAGAGTGAGTTCCCCTGACCTCACAAATCCCAATATGTTACATCCCTTTACCCTTAGTAAACACAACACATCTCTCAATAGAACAATTGACAGTATCTTAAAATCACCAATTATATTGTAACATGAACACTATGGTAGATTACATCCTTAAAAACAATGCACAATATGCCACAACATAATCAAGATACAAAACAATGATGTCAAAGTCCTTTTGACCTTTAAAATCATAGGTCTAACTTATCTGGGACTTTGATTGTCCTGTTTGACCTTCTCAGTGGCTTTTGATTTGGTGACTCAAGATTCTGACCATATGGATTCTCTATCTCAGGAGGTCTAGGATTTAAATCATTAACTCCAGAATTTACATTTTCTGACTCTAGACAACTTGGTTCACTCATATCAACAGAACTTGGTTGTGGAACAAACTGAGTTGGTGTGAACTGTTCAGATTTGGTGGGATTGACAGATTCACACTTATTATCTGCACAAGTTATTTTTAACTGGTCTGCATGTCTACGGACAATAAGTCCATCATTTGTTTTTACTTTATAAGACACAGGTCCTGTACATTGAACAATTTGACCTGGTATCCATTTTTCCTTTCTCCCATAATTTCTTAGATACACATTCTCATTAACACCAAATTCTCTTTCAATGGATGTCTTGTCATGATTTAATGGAATTATTTTTGAATTGGCATCTGGAAGTATTATGCTATTATTCAGATCCTTGACTGACATAGATTTCTTTGATTGATCAATTTCCTCAGGTAATCTGATAGTGCTTTTTGGTAACCAAAAATACTGTTTAAAAGTAATATCCTGGACTATATCACTTTGCAACTGTGATCCAGTATTTGAAGTGGGTGTATTAAATGGCAAAAATCTTTTTTCTTTTGATGTTACCCTTTTAGTTTCTGTAAGTGCTAATGATGTTAGCAAAGTTGTTTGATGATCACATTCCTTCTTACTAATGTATTCTCTTTAAAACATTTGAAATTGCCATATCACCATAATCATTTATTAAGTTACAAATACTTTGTTTAGGCAACTCTGACTGATAATGGACTGCATCTTCTCCATCTTTTATATTATCTTCACAAAGGGTTTTATTTCTTATTTAATATGGCCTTAAGTCATCATTCACAGACTCTTCAGGCCAACCATTCTTACAGTACTCATATACTTTTATTAAGCACTCATCTTTTTGTGTTTCTCTTTTAATATCATTCACATTTATATTGGAGTTCTCCATGATAGTGAAGAGAATAAATACATCTTCTGGTATATAGCTAAGGCTTTGGTTTTTTAAAGGTAATCTACTAAGACTATCTGCACTATTCTCAGATCCAGGTTTGTATTTCAATTCATAATTGTATGCAGTTAGTGAGGTGAGGCATGCTCAGGTAGGGTTTTGTTTTCTCCAAATAAACCTAGCAATGGTTTATGATCTGTAAAGATGGTGAACTTCCTACCAAACAGAAACTTATGAAATTTCTTAACACCAAAAATGATGCCTAAGCCTTCCCTATCTAACTGAGAATAATTTTTCTCAGCCTGGTTCAAAGATCTACTGGCAAAAGCAATGGGTCTGTCACCCTTCTCATCCATGTGGGACAAGACTGCTCCTACACCATCTGGTGAAGCATCACATGTTAATATAAGTCTTTTCCCTGGGTCATAGTGAGTTAGAAAGGTGTCAGAAGACAAAGCTTCTTTTGCTGTATTAAAAGCAGCTTCTTGTTGTTTACCCCAGTGCCAAGTTGCATTTTTCTGTAGCAGCTTGTACAGTGGTGATAGTTTACCAGACAGATTCCCTATGAACTTTGCATAGTAATTTATCAAGCCCAAAAAAGCTCTTAGTTGTTGGGTATTTTCAGGTTTGGGTGCTTCTTTAATGGCTTTTGTTTTCTCAGGTTGAGGTCTGATGCCTTGCTTGCTTAATATATAACCAAGAAAACTAATTTCTGTCAACATGAATTGACATTTATCTTTGTTTATCTTTAAACCTTTTTCACCAACTACTTTCAATACTTTATCAAGTGTTTTAAGATGTTCAGTGTCATTCTTACCGGTTATGTACACATTGTCAAAGTAAACACAAACATTTGGAATATCCTTAAAAATACTGTCCATGACAGCTTGGAAAATTCCAGGGCTAGATGATATGCCAAAACATAGTCTTTCATATTGGTAGAGTCCTTTATGTGTGTTTATTGTCGTATAGACTTTTGAATCTGGATGCAGTTCTAGTTGAGTGTAAGCATGACTAAAGTCTAATTCAGTGAATTTGTCTCCTCCTGCCAAATTCAAAGAAATTTCCTCAATGTTAGGAATAGGGTACCTATTTAGCTCTATTTGCTTATTCAGTGTAGTTTTATAGTCTCCACAAATTCTTATAGAACCATCCTTCTTTAACACTGGCACAATGGGCGTTGCCCAATCGGAATAGTCTACCTTCTTTATGATGCCATTAGATTCCAATCTACTTAGCTCATTTTCAATTTTATTCCTCATTGCATAAGGTGGAACTCTAGCTTTGCAGTATCTTGGATTTGTGTCTTTAATGCTTATCTTCACTGTTCTATCATTTAATAATCCAGAATTACCAAAAACACTTTCATTTTCAGATATAACTTTATCTATTGAAGTAAGACTAGATTCTCTTGCGTTGTTCAATGAACATATACTCTTCCAATTTAACTTAAGATTACTTAACCAGTTCCTACCTAGTAATGGTGGTCCATTTCCTTCAACCACAAGAAGAGGAAGTTTAACACTTTGACCATTATAACTTACATGAACCATACACTCTCCTATTACCGGAACATTGTCACCAGTGTATGTTGTTAGACACTTGTGACATGGTTGTAGAGGCACTGATCCTCCTGTGACAGCGTCAAAGTCCTTCTTTGTGATGACTGTTAGAGATGCTCCAGTGTCAAGTTGGAAGCTGATGCTCTTACCGTTGATATTAACTAGTACATTGATGGGAGCATGACTTTCTGATTTCACAGGGAACAGGTTGAAATCCGGTTGCGAATCAGTTTGAGCATTTTCACTGGTAGAGTGGTTCATTGGTTGGGTTAGGTAGTCTTGGTGAGAGTTAACATAGTGCTGCCTTTGGTTGCGGTACTGTCTTGACTGGCTAGATTTAGCAACAGACGAAGACTTTGCAAAGCAGGCCTTGGCAATGTGACCTTGCTTACCGCACTTATAACAAGTTGCTAACTTGAACTTGCACCGATGAGAAGCATGGGGACCTTTGCATCGATGACATTTTTGATAATTATTACTAGATTTAGATCTAGGCTTTAAACGTGCAGGCTGTTTAGCATAAGTTGGAATGCTCTGATGGGGTTGGTGTTTGTTGACTAACCTGCTGTTTACTGCATGGATCTCTGAAGGTGCTAGAGATCTCGCCGCATCGGATGACTGCTGGAATGAAGTTGCTAGTTGTATTGCTTTTTCTAATGTTAGATCTGACTCGAGCAGCAACTTTCTTTGAATATCAGGGCTGTTTACACCTGTGACAAACTTTTCACATAGTCTGTCAGACAGCGTGTCTCCGAATTCACAAAATCTACTTAGATGACGTAAAGCAGCAACATATTCTGATATTGACTCGTTTGGTTGACGAGTCCTACTGTCAAATCTAGCTCTACATAGAAACTTTGATGGGGTAGGCGCATGGTGGTCTGTTAGCAATTTGCTCAGCTCGTTAAAGCTCTTGGTAGTTAGACTAGCTGGTGCGCATAAGTCCTTTAATAGCCTAAATTGTTGAGGCCCTATGACTGTTAACAAAACAGCTCTCTTTTTGGCTTCTATCGTCACGTCGTTAGCTTCAAGGTAAAAGCTTAACCTATCTAGGTAATCTTGAATGATTTCATCATTCGAATCAAATTCTTTTATTTGGCCATACAGCGCCATTATTCTAGAAATACTTAGCCAATATGCTCTAGCAAACCTCTTTTTTGCGTAAGTAGGTGCTCTTTCTAGTAGATTATTTATCCTCGTCGCCAGATATAATAGATTAGGTATTCAACAACGGAGACAGAAGCCATCAGCATGTAGCCATCTTTATTTGGTAAACCGGAAGAGGAACAATGATAGATAAATACAAGGGACATCACTCAAAAACAACATTATAAATATAACTAATACAAGAAGAGTGAGTTCCCCTGACCTCACAAATCCCAATATGTTACACGATGTTTATCTATAGTCTGTTAATAATACATTTTGGATGTAGCATTGTTTTCTCCAGAGTTAACACGTTTACGTCATGGTGTCACCCAAATACCTTTGTAATAATTGTCGATTTGTTCCTAAAAGACTATATATTTAATTAATGAAACAGGCAAAAAGCAATTTTCTTCTGTACATTTTGCGATTTTTTGCCTTGATGTCACCCCCTAAACAGTGTTTCTTCCAGACTTTTTTCTCCG